ATGTAACAGAGTTGATACAATCCACTGTAAAAGTGAAAAAAACAGACAAAGATATTTTATTGCAGTGATTATTTTCCCTATTGAAAATTTTACATTTACATGCATCATGGATCAGTCAGCAGCAGCATCTAATCAATCTGTGATCCATGATGTGATGTAAATGTAACATTTTCTACATACATGTGTGACACAAAAATCTGAATTATGGAACTGAAAGTGAAAGTAGTCAAACTGAATTTTTAATAAAACAAAATACAGTTTCAAAGCAAATTAATTCAGATACAAAACTTTAAATTCAGTTTCAATTTAGTAAAATTCATTTTCAAACCAATTCATTCAATTTCAAATTATCCACATTCAGATTCAATCTGAGCAATTCAGATTCACTTCCTGCTGGCACAAGGTTGATCCCATAGAAACAACCATAATGTTTCAGAATAAAAAAGAAATAAAGAAAACATACGCGTCTTCGTCCACAGTCTCATGTCTCTGTCTTCCAGGTGGACACCACGAGCTTCAGGAACGGTGAGTAAGAGTTGTGAAGCCTGTGGTGGTCCCGGCTGGTCTGGGGGGTCCTGATGCTGTTTGTTTCCTCCACAGATGAGCTCTTTCAGAAGGTGAAGAGGAGTCGCTCCAGCAGGACGATGAGCAGGAGTCAGTGAAGCTGCACAGGACGGTGCAGGAGGAGAAACCTCACTGGCAAACGTTACATTTTTAATTTCCTGTGTTGCTGTAAAACAAACAAACAAACACAAAACAAGCAGCTGGTTTTAATAATTTTTTGGAATCACAGTTTTTTGTAAAATGTTTTGTACTCGTGACGTCCTGCAGATTGTCCAAATGCAGCGAGCCGCAGACTTTCTGTCACTTTTTGTAAAATAAAGATGAAACTTTGACTCCTCTTCTTCAGCGCTCTTCATTACCACAACAATAATCCCATATTAATTTATTGATGAGTGAATTTAAACAGGATACAGGATTTTTTTTCATAAACTATGTGTTGAGAATGACTTTCAGCTACTACCACACCAGTTTTACCACAATAGTTGTAAAACAACTAAGTTATAGCCATATTTATGTTTTCTAAATGTGCTTTGCTGTGGTGGCCATCTTAAAATGTGTTGATTCCAAAAGTTAATCAATTGTAGATGTGAAACCAATGATTACTTTCTGAGAGTTTTATTAAAATCCGTTCAGTGACTCGTGAGATATTCTGCTAACAGACAGACAAACCAACAGTCAATGTTCTTCCTGGCCGGCAGGGGGCGCCGCAGCTCATTTCTGTGTTCAAATCCACTTCCGGCCGTCGCCACAGCAGAACCAAACGGCATGTTTTCCAGCCTAAAGGAGCGACTCGGGCAGGTTCTGGTTCCCGGGGATGAGTTCAGCTTCAAGGCCGAGGACAGCATCTCTCTGACGGAGAGCGCGAAGCCGGAGCGGGTGGTGTGCGGCCCGGGGCTGCGGCGGAGCGGAGACCGGCTGGTTGTGAGCAAGAGCGGCGTGCTGAAGCACAAACCTCCGCACACATTCTGGATCGAGTCCCAACAGAGGAGGGTGGGTACTGTCCGAACACACCGCCGAATTCAGCAGGGAACCGAACAGAACCGCTGGATCTGACCGAGACTGTTCTGAGAGTTGATCCTGATGAAAAAAACTAAAGTCAAACTAAAATTGCCGATTATGTCTATGTAATACGGAAGAAGATCGGTCGGACCGGAAACTTGATACTTTAATTTGAAAAAACAAAGTTCAGTTTTCTGTTCAAATCTATAAACTTTTTTCTAATTTTATAACATGACTTTTGTTGAATTAATAACATTTATAACTAAAAACTAGCAGTCTTTCCATCTGTCCTCAGTCAGTCTTGTCTCTGTCCTCAGTATGTGTCTCTATCCTCAGTCTGTCTCTGTCCTCAGTCTGTGTCTCTGTCCTCAGTCTTTGTCTCTGTCCTCAGCATGTGTCTCTGTCCTCAGCATGTGTCTCTGTCCTCAGTATGTGTCTCTGTCCTCAGTCTTTGTCTCTGTCCTCAGCATGTGTCTCTGTCCTCAGTATGTGTCTCTGTCCTCAGTCTTTGTCTCTGTCCTCAGCATGTGTCTCTGTCCTCAGCATGTGTCTCTGTCCTCAGTATGTCCCAGCCAAAGGGGAGACGGTCATCGGCATTGTGACGGCGAAATCCGGAGACGTCTTCAAGGTGGACGTTGGCGGCAGCGAGCAGGCGTCTCTGTCCTATCTGGCGTTTGAAGGTGCCACCAAGAGGAACCGACCCAACGTCCAGGTGAGGCCRGGACAGGTGGACGTCCTGCGGCGTCTCTGCTGGATGCAGTCCAGCTCTTAGCTGAAGCCCCGCCCACTGTGTGTCACCTGTGCAGGTGGGAGACCTGGTGTTCGCTCAGTTCATCATCGCCAACAAGGACATGGAGCCGGAGCTGGTGTGTATGGACGGGTCGGGCCGGGCCAACGGGATGGGCGTATTTGGAGCAGGGGGGCTTCTCTTCAAGGTGTCTCTGGGTCTCGTCAGAAGGTACCTGTGAGCCTCTCACCTGTCCAGTTTCTAGTGATTGACAGTTCACTGAGCCAGTAGGAGCTCAGACTCTAGCTGGTCATTTTAAACAGTTTAAATTGAATCTGTGTTCACCTGGTTGCCCCCCACAGGCTCCTGGCGCCCCACAGCGACATCCGGGCCGACCTGGACCAGCTGTTCCCCTGCGAGCTGGTGGTGGGCCTGAACGGCCGGGTCTGGGTCCGGTCCTCCAGCACCCAGCAGACCCTGATCGTGGCCAACCTGCTGCAGAGCTGCGACACCATGACGGCGGCGCAGAGGCAGCAGCTGTTCAGGAAGGTGCAGCAGAGGGCGCTGTAGGCCCCGCCCCCCRACTCACCTGCACCCAGGTGGAAGAACATTTGGCGATTTTTTTTTTTTTTTTTGATTGGACAGCCGCTCCGTGACGATGACACTGAACTTCCTGTTTATAAAATCTGAGGGCTGTGATTGGCTGGAGCTCATAGAGAAACAACCAATCAAAGCCCTGGTAGGTCCACCATCAGTTCTACCTGTTCAGGTTTGATTTGATTGATCAGATGAAGACGAGTCACAGAGGACCGACCCGTGTACCGGTTCTGTTGGACTGAACARGATCATGTGACGCGTCTTTAAAAAAACTTTTATTTTGAAGGGATCCAGGATTAGTTGTCACAGACTTTATTTGATAAACATTTATTTTAACTGTAAAATAAAGACTGTAAAAATGTTTAGTTTTTGTCATTTTTAAACTAAAAGTTTAAAAATATATTTTAACACAGACGGAGCCATTTTATTTACATGGTGTAAATAAAATGGCTCCGTCTGTGTTAAAATATTTATGTATAAAAAAACTGAAAACTAAACATCCTACAGTATTTTTAGTCTTTATTTTACAGTTAAAATAAGTGTTTATTAAATAAAGTCTAATGTTACAACTAATCATGGATCCTTTAAGACTTGTTTGTAACTTTGACAAAAAATAAATCCAGTTTCTATAAGTTTCTTGTGTTTSATCAAAGATTTTTAAACTAAACCGACGGTCAGTGGGAATAGTTACGCTAACGGCRGAGCTAGCTCCTCACGAACCGAKTAGCTTCCACTAAATTAGCTTCCTCTAATTTTAAGTCCACTAAAAAATTCCCAAGGTGTAAAAACCTGCATTTTTATGCCATTTGACCCAAATTAAATAACTATCCCCTCTTTCTGGACGTGTTGGACASTATGTAGCATCTTTAGCATCTAAATGTCAAAATAAGAGCCTCAAAAAAACTGGTCAGGTCTGGAAGGAGGCAGGAAAAGATCAGACGAGCGCCACCAAAACCTCAGCAGGACTCAGACAGGAAGGAGTCGTTCAGTCAGACACAAACCACGAAGTGGTCTGAGATGAACGGAAACGACACGGACTCTGTTCAGACTTTGGGTTTATCAGGTCCTGTAACCAGTTTGACCGGTCAGCGGTTCACTTTAAGGCACATTACAGGCGATTGTTTCACACAGTTTTGGTCTGAAGGTAAACAAACAAACAAATGAGAAGAAGTTTGCCGACATTCAGAAAACATTCACACTGATCGATGATCAACATGTCGTCAATAATCAAGACAGGCTGGTCCAGCTGTCAGCTGATTCACAGGATCAATAAAGTCTTTGGTACCAACAGCTGCAATAAGGACACTTAGAAAACAAAACAATCAATAATCGATTAACCTCAATCATCAGCTGATCGATCAGCTGTGAATCAATCAGCAGCTGATTGATCAGACAACTCCAGGGTTACATGTGATTAGAAACATTGATCCCTGATCAGAGCGGATTATTACACTTTGACAGGATTCAGGTTAAACCGGGTCCAGAACTCCACYTGGATCCACAGGTTCCAACATGTTGCTTTGATCTGGTTTCTGATCCGGTTTTTGGTTCTGTTCCTGACCCAGTTTGTGATTTTAGTTCCTAATCTGGTTTATGATTCGGACCTTGACACTGTTCTGGATTTTGTTCCTGATCCAGTTTGTGTACCTGTGCTCTCGTTGGCGACTTTGTTTCCTGACTGTTTTTCTTGTTTTGTTTGTTTGTTTGTTTGTTTGTTTGTTTGTTTGTTTGTTTGTGTTCACACCGTCAACACCTGGTTCTGATTCAAATACATTAGGACTGGCGCTGAGAACAGGTGATCCTCTAAACTGACCCAAACAGTGAGGTCTGGCTTTAAGTGGGCGGAGCCAACACCAGATAATCAGGATTCAGCCAATCAGAAAGCTGCAGGCTCAGCCTGCTCACACAGGATTGGTCGATCGGAAACGGATCAGAAACCAGGAAGCAGTGGTCCTACCCAGACCAGGACCAGATCTAACCCCACCCTGTCCCATAATCCCACCAACGTTTTCCCCCTACAGGGTAACTTTCAAAATAAGAGTCCTGCTCAGAATGTGCTGCAGCAGCATCTGATTGGTTCCAGCCGACCAATCAGAGACGAGTCCTCAAGGGCCCGCAGAGAAAATCAAGTCCAGAAGGTTCTGGCCAGGAGAACCAGAACTTTTAGATTCAAGTGTCAGAGTCAGCATGTGGCCCCCGGGGGCCCCTCAGGGCTTCCCCACGTCCACAGTGATCCTGGTGTACAGGTCCAGTTTCTCCGAGGCCACCACCTTGTAGGTCAGGGAGTTGATGCCGTCTTTGAACATCGTCTCTCTGGTGTGGGCGATCCGGTCGAACCTGGAACCAGGACAAACAGAACCCAGACATCAGAACTTCAGGAGTCAGAACCTTGGTGTCTTACGGGGGGGTGCTGGTACCTCTGRGGGTTGGGGTCGTTCTGCTTGTCCCGGTTGTGTCGGATCATGCGGCACTTCCCCACCTCCCCGCTGGGCCTGGAGATGCTCATGCCTTTGGAGGAGAGCCTGAAACGGACCGTGAGTCGGGTCAGAGACCTGCAGCAATGTGGACCTGTGGCCAGCAGGTGGAGCCAGACTGGAGAACCGGTTCTGCTCCTCTAACGGTACAAACACTTCCTGTTTTCACAGTGATGAGTGTGGGCCGACAGGTGAGGTGTACCTGTTGAAGATGTCGTCGTCCTCTCCTCCCCAGCCCCAGTAGTTGTTGGGGAAGCCGTTGATCTTCAGGTACTGCTCTTTGCTCATCGAAGACACGCCTCCAAAGTACTGAGTGTACGGCAACCTGCAGGAGGGGGCGGAGTTAAAAGTCCTGATCAGAACAAGCTCCGCCTTCTTCCTGTTCTGAGGTTTCACAGAACAGGAAACAAACATGCAAACGTCTGATTTTTATCAGGTTCTAAAAATATTCTGCTCGGATCGGAACCGAACAGAAACACACAGCGGACTGCACCGGGTCGGTCAGGATCCAGATCAGTTTAAAGCTGGTTCTGGGTCAGAATCTGGGTCAGTTTTAGTCTGGTTCTGGGTCAGTTCTAAGACTGGTTCTGGGTCAGTTTTAGTCTGGTTCTGTCTGTTCTAAGACTGGTTCTAGGTCAGTTCTAAGACTGGTTCTGGGTCAGTTTTAAGGCTGGTTCTGGGTCAGTTTTCAGGTTTATTTAAGGTCAGATCGTAGGCAGACTCAGGACCAGTTTTTCAGGGACCACCTTCATGATAACAGACCGACTCGGTTCAGTCTGGCTGTGTTTTCCTGACAGGAAACTGCAGCTGCTGTGTGCTAGCGAGGGGGGGGGGGAACAGGAAGTGAGAGGCTTGGCTCAGGGTTCAGTTTCAGAGGACCATCTTTCCTCTGCGTCTCTGTCAGCACTTCCTGTTCCTCCTGAGAGCTGCTGAGCTCAGAGCAGGGTCAGGGCCTGGGCACGTCTCCTACATGATGATTCAACATGAATAAAACATTAAAGTGTCTGTGACGTCAAATTTTTGCAACAAACGTGAATGTGTTTTTTGAAAGAGAACATTGATAAAATATTGCTAAATAAATTTCATGTCGCTGAGATGAACAGCTGTTGACATATTTGTATGTGAAGAAACAGGAAGTGATGTCATAGGGGAATGTCTACATGTGAACAGAGCGATGCTACAAGTAGAGAAGAATCTGATGTTTCTTTAGATTATTTTGAGTCTATCWGAGTTGAAGAGTTTAAATAAGATTCTTTCAATAAACAAAGACTAGAGTTTATTTTCTTAAAGAGATCCCCTTTGATGTCACTTCCTGTTTCACTTTGCTGAGCCAAATTCAAAAGAAAATATGCCAGTTATGAGACAAAATGGGTAAAATTAGGTGTATTATGCTAATTTTCTTAAATATAAATATATTTTCTTTGACTTTTTGTATTTGAAGGATAAGCACGTGTCAGGAACTCTAATATTTATCAGACGGGTTGAGTCTGCAGCCCACCTGAAGCCGAACTTGTCCATGGACACGGACAGGTGTCGCGGCTGGCTGAAGCACCTGTAGGTGTTTCTGTCGTCCATGGGGATGAGGTCCACGTCACTGAAGACAAAGCAGTTGTAGTCGTACTCCTTCAGCGCCTCCACGTAGCCGATGTTCAGCAGCTTGGCCCGGTTAAAGGTCTCATCCCCATCCTGAGACACACACACACACACACACACACACACACACACACACA